AATTTTCCCAAAAATGGCGGCGACATGTGTGGCAACGGAGCGGGGATCTCTGGGAAGGCGCGCAGACAAGGCGCGCTGACCCATAATGCATTCATTCATGACATGTGATCGCATTAGCCAATCAGCAGCCAGCCAGCCAGCACTGTGTAATGGTGGAGCTATAAATTGCGGCCATCTTAGAATTCTCCATTAGCCTCCGGTCATTCAAGAGAGACAGACCTGTCTGTATTAGGGACAGAGTTAGGGCCACAGAGACTTTAGGGCCACAGAATCGTTACTTAGGGACACAGAATCGTTACTTAGGGACACAGAATCGTTACTCAGGGACACAGAATTGTTACTCAGGGACACAGAATCGTTACTCAGGGACACAGAATCGTTACTCAGGGACACAGAATTGTTACTGAGGGACACAGAATCGTTACTCAGGGACACAGAATTGTTACTGAGGGACACAGAATCGTTACTCAGGGACACAGAATTGTTACTCAGGGACACAAAATTGTTACTCAGGGACACAGAATTGTTACTCAGAGACACAGAATCGTTACTCAGGGACACAGAATTGTTACTGAGGGACACAGAATTGTTACTCAGGGACACAGAATTGTTACTCAGGGACACAGAATTGTTACTCAGGGACACAGAATTGTTACTCAGGGACACAGAATTGTTACTCAGGGACACAGAATCGTTACTCAGGGACACAGAATTGTTACTCAGGGACACAGAATTGTTACTCAGGGACACAGAATTGTTACTCAGGGACAGACACAGAATTGTTACTCAGGGACACAGAATTGTTACTCAGGGACACAGAATTGTTACTCAGGGACACAGAATCATGTTACTCAGGGACACAGAATTGTTACTCAGGGACACAGAATTGTTACTCAGGGACACAGAATTGTTACTGAGGGACACAGAATCGTTACTCAGGGACACAGAATTGTTACTGAGGGACACAGAATCGTTACTCAGGGACACAGAATCATTACTCAGGGACACAGAATCGTTACTCAGGGACACAGAATTGTTACTCAGGGACACAGAATCGTTACTGAGGGACACAGAATCGTTACTCAGGGACACAGAATCGTTACTCAGGGACACAGAATTGTTACTCAGGGACACAGAATTGTTACTCAGGGACACAGAATCGTTACTCAGGGACACAGAATCGTTACTCAGGGACACAGAATTGTTACTCAGGGACACAGAATTGTTACTCAGGGACACAGAATCGTTACTCAGGGGACACAGAATCGTTACTCAGGGACACAGAATCATTGAATTAAAGAGAGTATGTCAGACAACACGCAGAGGAGTGGCAGAGGAGGCAATGTTTCAGGAGCGAGCAGACGTGGCAGCAGAGGAAGGGGTCGAGCAGCACTAGTCGCAGCCAGAGGCCAGTGCTCCCGGTGTCATCCAGCGGTCGTGTCTCCACCGACAACCCTGCCGTCATCGATTGGTTGGCTCGGTCGTCTTCCTCTTCCCAGGTCACCTCTGACACCTACAGCCAACGGTCGGTGGGTACGTCAGACACAACCGTTAGTTGGCATGGCCCGGGAGCAAGCCCACTGAAATCACGTGTCCTCTACCTGCCCCTGTCCTTTGGTGTTCCCTCACCAAGCGAAGTATCGCATGCTGTGGGCTCAGCCCCACTGTACAGTGAGGAAGAGCTAACAGAGGGCGGTCAGGAACGGGGGGGAGACATCCGCCTCTTCAGCAGCCAGGCGAAGAAGTACTGGCGAGGAGAGTGGCTCGGTAGCCGGTCTAGAGACAGGTCTGTCTCCTGACCCACACGCAGCCGAGGGGGCTAGTAGTGACGCGGAGACCCTAATTGATGATGATGAGGCTGATCGCACTTGGCAGCCTCGTCGTCATCAGGCTATTGCTTCCGCATCATCAGGAGAAGAGGGTGCCAGCTTGGCAGCGAGCAAAACAGTCGGTGGGTTGCCCAGGAGGCAGCAGGGTCGCAGCAGTGTCAGTGGAGGCAAACGGCCACGGAGTAGAGCACCAGCTCCACTGCAGCCTACCACCACGGCCAGTAGTGGTGCCAGTGTGCACGGAGGAAGTAGCAGTCAGCCAGTGAGGAGTAGCGGGGGCAAAGTTTCCTACTCGGCGGTGTGGCAATTTTTCGTCAAGCCGCCCGAGGAAGTAAACGTAGCCGTATGTCGACTATGTGGCCAGAAAGTCAAGCGTGGCCAGGGGGCCCATGTTGGGACTACAGCGTTGCGTCAGCATATGCAGCGTCGCCATTCGGTGGCCTGGGAAAACCGTGATAAAGATACGGCGGTTCTGCCTGCCCCAGCCCCCGCTCCATCACCGCTCCGTTACTTGCTCCGTCACCCGACGTCAATCGCCCTCTATCAGCCAGTCAAGGCTCCAACACCTCTGCTGAGGGGAGTTGTCGCTCGTTGGCATCTTCCGCTCGTTCAGATGCTCCTTCTCCTGCTACTCCTCTTCACGGATTCCGTCAGCAGTCTTTCTTGGAATCCGTTTCCAAGAGACAACAGTTTGCGAGCACGCACCCGACGGTGCAGAAGCTGAACGTCCTCCTGTCCAAGTTGCTGGTGCTGCAGTCCCTCCCTTTCCAAGTGGTGGACTCAGCACCTTTCCGAGAAATGATGGCTTGTGCCGAGCCGCGGTGGAGAGTGCCAAGCGGCATTTCTTCGCCAAAAAGGCAGTGCCAGCCCTGCATTCACATGTAGAAGAGATGGTGGGCCAGTCTTTGAGCATGTCGGTCTCTGCCAAAGTGCACGGCAGCGCCGACGTGTGGAGCTGTAACTACGGTCAGGGACAGTACATGTCATTTACGGCCCACTGGGTGAACGTGGTGCCGGCACAGCCGCACCAGCAACTTGGACAGGTCACGCCGCTTTTGCCTCCACGTTTGCACGTCCTTGGTCCAGCAAAGATGTCCGCCTCTACCACCTCTTCTTCCGCCGTGTCCTCAGCCGCCACCCCCGTGCCAAGTCCCATTACCCGACCGGCATATCACATGTGCAGGGCGCAACGGTGTCACGCTGTGCTGCACCTGGTATGCCTTGGCGAACGTAGTCACACAGGGGAGGAACTTCTGAGTGTAATGAACAGAGAAATCGACAGATGGCTGTCTCCGCGCAAACTGAAAATCGGAACCATGTTGACCGACAACGGAAAGAACATGGTGTCTGCTCTGCGTCAAGGAAGGTTGTGCCATGCGCCATGCATGGCTCACGTGTTCAATCTGGTTGTCAAGCGGTTCCTAAAATCCACCATCCCACTGCAAGACATCCTTAAAATGTCACGTAAACTTTGCATGCATTTCAGCCATTCCTACACCGCAAAGCACACCCTCCTTGAGCTGCAGCGGCAGAACGGAATTCCACAGCATCGCCTGATCTGCGACGTTGCAACAAGGTGGAATTCAACCCTACATATGTTAGACCGCCTTTACGAACAGCGAAAGGCCATCACCGATTTCCTGATGTTACAAGCGGATAAAGGTACTCCCCTGTGTAACTTAGATGTCAGCCATTGGCAGCTCATGCGTGACACCTGCCGCTTGCTCAGGCCCTTTGAGGAGGCCACGCTATTCGTGAGTCGGCAGGACTATGGGATGAACGACGTCATTCCTCTGTTGCACGTCCTGGAACAAATGCTGTTAACAATGGCTGGTCAGGGTGCGGTAGACGTGGCGCACAGATCTCAACGCCACATGACCCCTGTGGGGGCAGGACAGGAAGAAGAGGAGGAGGTAGAGGAGGACATTGGTGCTCAGGAATTATTGAGTGAAATGGGTGGTTTTTCCACTCAGCGGACAGGAGTGGAGGAGCAGGAGCATCTGGTAGAGGAGGAGGAGGAGACAGAGGACCCAGACGCACCGTGGCAGTATGCTGTGGAGATGGAGGCAGGGAGTCCCTCGCATTCCTTGGCACAAATGGCCCATAGCATGCTCGGTTGCTTGCGTAGCGACAGCCGAATAATAACCATCAGACAGAGGGATGACTTTTGGCTGTCCACCTTGTTGGACCCTCGCTACCGTTCAAAAATGGTGGCCTTTTTCACACCTGCTGAGAGGGAGGCCAAAATAACGTACTATAAAAAACCACCTATGTAGTCAGTTGGTCTCTGCCTTTCTGCGCCAACGTCCATCCTCAGACACTGTGGGCCCTGTGCGCTCGCGTTCCGCTGCCATGGCAGCAGGGGAGGGGTGGGGTGGTAGGAGCAGTGGCAGCTCCACCAGCAGCGGCTGCCTCAGTCTGCAGTCGATGATGAGTAGCTTTCTTCACCAGCGCAGTGAGGAAACTACTAACCAGCCGCAGCAGCAGCAGCATCAGGTGGACCTGGAGCAGGACCTCAAACAACAGGCTTGGGCCTACTTGGACAGCACCCTGCCAACCGAGGTAGACAATCCCCTTGACTACTGGGCAACGAAACTTGACCTTTGGCCCCAACTAGCTGAATTTGCCCTTGAAAGGCTGTCATGCCCGGCCAGTAGCGTGGCATCGGAGCGCGTGTTTAGTGCGGCAGGAGGTATTGTAACTCCGCGGAGGACACGACTGTCCACCCAAAGTGTGGAGAGACTCACGTTTGTGAAAATGAATCAGGCGTGGATTAGTCTGGATTTCAAACCACCAGTTCCTGACACAACTGACTAAATCCGCCATGAATCATGCCCCAAACATGTTATTATTTTTAACATAGGCCTCTGTATGGCCTTCAATTTAAGCTGCTTACGCTTCGCCACTCTGCCATGGGCCCCTGTACCGCCTCCTCTTGCTGCTGCCAGGTCCAGAGTGTGTCATGGGTCCCTGTACGGCCTCCCATTGCTGCTGTCTCCATCGCCACACTCTGCCATGTGCCACTTTCAGGTCTCCTCACACTGCTGGTGGGTTCCATTTTGTCATAGGGTGCTGGCAGATTACGGGCCTCCCATTGCTGCTGCCAGGCCCGTAATCTGCCATGGGCCCCCGTACCGACTCCTCATGCTGCTGCCAGGCCCGTAATCTGTCATGGGCCCCTGTACCGCCTCCTCATGCTGCTGCCAGGTCCCAGAGTGTGTCATGGGTCCCTGTACGGCCTCCCATTGCTGCTGTCTCCATCGCCACACTCTGCCATGTGCCACTTTCAGGTCTCCTCACACTGCTGGTGGGTTCCCATTTTGTCATAGGGTGCTGGCCAGATTACGGGCCTCCCATTGCTGCTGCCAGGCCCGTAATCTGTCATGGGCCCCTGTACCGCCTCCTCATGCTGCTGCCAGGTCCAGAGTGTGTCATGGGTCCCTGTACGGCCTCCCATTGCTGCTGTCTCCATCCGCCACACTCTGCCATGTGCCACTTTCAGGTCTCCTCACACTGCTGGTGGGTTCCATTTTGTCATAGGGTGCTGGCAGATTACGGGCCTCCCATTGCTGCTGCCAGGCCCGTAATCTGCCATGGGCCCCCGTACCGACTCCTCATGCTGCTGGGCCCGTAATCTGTCATGGGCCCCTGTACCGCCTCCTCATGCTGCTGCCAGGTCCAGAGTGTGTCATGGGTCCCTGTACGGCCTCCCATTGCTGCTGTCTCCATCGCCACACTCTGCCATGTGCCACTTTCAGGTCTCCTCACACTGCTGGTGGGTTCCATTTTGTCATAGGGTGCTGGCAGATTACGGGCCTCCCATTGCTGCTGCCAGGCCCGTAATCTGCCATGGGCCCCCGTACCGACTCCTCATGCTGCTGCCAGGCCCGTAATCTGTCATGGGCCCCTGTACCGCCTCCTCATGCTGCTGCCAGGTCCAGAGTGTGTCATGGGTCCCTGTACGGCCTCCCATTGCTGCTGTCTCCATCGCCACACTCTGCCATGTGCCACTTTCAGGTCTCCTCACACTGCTGGTGGGTTCCATTTTGTCATAGGGTGCATAGGCCTCCCATTGCTGCTGCCAGGCAGTAATCTGCCATGGGCCCCCGTACCGACTCCTCATGCTGCTGCCAGGCCCGTAATCTGTCATGGGCCCCTGTACCGCCTCCTCATGCTGCTGCCAGGTCCAGAGTGTGTCATGGGTCCCTGTACGGCCTCCCATTGCTGCTGTCTCCATCGCCACACTCTGCCATGTGCCACTTTCAGGTCTCCTCACACTGCTGGTGGGTTCCATTTTGTCATAGGGTGCTGGCAGATTACGGGCCTCCCATTGCTGCTGCCAGGCCCGTAATCTGCCATGGGCCCCCGTACCGACTCCTCATGCTGCTGCCAGGCCCGTAATCTGTCATGGGCCCCTGTACCGCCTCCTCATGCTGCTGCCAGGTCCAGAGTGTGTCATGGGTCCCTGTACGGCCTCCCATTGCTGCTGCCAGGCCCGTAATCTGCCATGGGCCCCCGTACCGACTCCTCATGCTGCTGCCAGGCCCGTAATCTGTCATGGGCCCCTGTACCGCCTCCTCATGCTGCTGCCAGGTCCAGAGTGTGTCATGGGTCCCTGTACGGCCTCCCATTGCTGCTGTCTCCATCGCCACACACTCTGCCATGTGCCACTTTCAGGTCTCTCCTACACTCTGCTGGTGGGTTCCATTTTGTCATGGTGCTGGCAGTACGGGCCTCCCATTGCTGCTGCCAGGCCCGTAATCTGTCATGGGCCCCTGTACCGCCTCCTCATGCTGCTGCCAGGTCCAGAGTGTGTCATGGGTCCCTGTACGGCCTCCCATTGCTGCTGTCTCCATCGCCACACTCTGCCATGTGCCACTTTCAGGTCTCCTCACACTGCTGGTGGGTTCCATTTTGTCATAGGGTGCTGGCAGATTACGGGCCTCCCATTGCTGCTGCCAGGCCCGTAATCTGCCATGGGCCCCCGTACCGACTCCTCATGCTGCTGCCAGGCCCGTAATCTGTCATGGGCCCCTGTACCGCTCCTCATGCTGCTGCCAGGTCCAGAGTGTGTCATGGGTCCCTGTACGGCCTCCCATTGCTGCTGTCTCCATCGCCACACTCTGCCATGTGCCACTTTCAGGTCTCCTCACACTGCTGGTGGTTCCATTTTGTCATAGGGTGATGGCAGATTTGGGCCTCCCATTGCTGCTGCCAGGCCCGTAATCTGTCATGGGCCCCTGTACCGCCTCCTCATGCTGCTGCCAGGTCCAGAGTGTGTCATGGGTCCCTGTACGGCCTCCCATTGCTGCTGTCTCCATCGCCACACTCTGCCATGTGCCACTTTCAGGTCTCCTCACACTGCTGGTGGGTTCCATTTTGTCATAGGGTGCTGGCAGATTACGGGCCTCCCATTGCTGCTGCCAGGCCCGTAATCTGCCATGGGCCCCCGTACCGACTCCTCATGCTGCTGCCAGGCCCGTAATCTGTCATGGGCCCCTGTACCGCCTCCCATGCTGCTGCCAGGTCCAGAGTGTGTCATGGGTCCCTGTACGGCCTCCCATTGCTGTCTCCTGCCCAGTGTGTAAGGTTCCTCCATGGGTTCCATTTTGTCATAGGGTGCCGATTACGGGCCTCCCATTGCTGCTGCCAGGCCCGTAATCTGTCATGGGCCCCTGTACCGCGACTCCTCATGCTGCTGCCAGGTCCAGTAGTGTGTCATGGGTCCCTGTACGGCCTCCCATTGCTGCTGTCTCCATCGCCACACTCTGCCATGTGCCACTTTCAGGTCTCTCACACTGCTGGTGGGTTCCATTTTGTCATAGGGTGCTGGCAGATTTGCATGCTGCTGCCAGGCCCGTAATCTGCCATGGGCCCCTGTACCACTCCTCATGCTGCTGCCAGGTCCAGAGTGTGTCATGGGTCCCTGTACGGCCTCCCATTTGCTGCTGTCTCCATCGCCACACTCTGCCATGTGCCACTTTCAGGTCTCCTCACACTGCTGGTGGGTTCCATTTTGTCATAGGGTGCTGGCAGATTACGGGCCTCCCATTGCTGCTGCCAGGCCCGTAATCTGTCATGGGCCCCTGTACCGCCTCCTCATGCTGCTGCCAGGTCCAGAGTGTGTCATGGGTCCCTGTACGGCCTCCCATTGCTGCTGTCTCCATCGCCACACTCTGCCATGTGCCACTTTCAGGTCTCCTCACTGCTGGTGGGTTCCATTTTGTCATAGGGTGCTGGCAGATTACGGGCCTCCCATTGCTGCTGCCAGGCCCGTAATCTGCCATGGGCCCCCGTACCGACTCCTCATGCTGCTGCCAGGCCCGTAATCTGTCATGGGCCCCTGTACCGCCTCCTCATGCTGCTGCCAGGTCCAGAGTGTGTCATGGGTCCCTGTACGGCCTCCCATTGCTGCTGTCTCCATCGCCACACTCTGCCATGTGCCACTTTCAGGTCTCCTCACACTGCTGGTGGGTTCAATTTTGTCATAGGGTGCTGGCAGATTACGGGCCTCCCATTGCTGCTGCCAGGCCCGTAATCTGCCATGGGCCCCCGTACCGACGACTCCTCGCTGCTGCTGCCAGGCCCGTAATCTGTCATGGGCCCCTGTACCGCCTCCTCATGCTGCTGCCAGGTCCAGAGTGTGTCATGGGTCCCTGTACGGCCTCCCATTGCTGCTGTCTCCATCGCCACACTCTTGCCATGTGCCACTTTCAGGTCTCCTCACACTGCTGGTGGGTTCCATTTTGTCATAGGGTGCTGGCAGATTACGGGCCTCCCATTGCTGCTGCCAGGCCCGTAATCTGCCATGGGCCCCCGTACCGCCTCCTCATGCTGTGCCAGGCCCGTAATCTGTCATGGGCCCCTGTACCGCCTCCTCATGCTGCTGCCAGGTCCAGAGTGTGTCATGGGTCCCTGTACGGCTCCCATTGCTGCTGTCTCCATCGCCCACACTCTGCCATGTGCCACTTTCAGGTCTCCTCACACTGCTGGTGGGTTCCATTTTGTCATAGGGTGCTGGCAGATTACGGGCCTCCCATTGCTGCTGCCAGGCCCGTAATCTGTCATGGGCCCCTGTACCGCCTCCTCATGCTGCTGCCAGGTCCAGAGTGTGTCATGGGTCCCTGTACGGCCTTCCATTGCTCCTGTCTCCCATCGCCACACTCTGCCATGTGCCACTTTCAGGTCTCCTCACACTGCTGGTGGGTTCCATTTTGTCATAGGGTGCTGGCAGATTAGGGCCTCCCATTGCTGCTGCCAGGCCCGTAATCTGCCATGGGCCCCGTACTGACTCCTCATGCTGCTGCCAGGCCCGTAATCTTGTCATGGGCCCTGTACCGCCTCCATTCATGCTGCTTGCCCCCAGAGTGTGTCATGGTCCACTGTTCGGTCCCCCATTGCTGCTGCCAGGCCCGTAATCTGCCATGGGCCCCCGTACCGACTCCTCATGCTGCTGCCAGGCCCGTAATCTGTCATGGGCCCCTGTACCGCCTCCTCATGCTGCTGCCAGGTCCAGAGTGTGTCATGGGTCCCTGTACGGCCTCAATTTGCTGCTGTCTCCATCGCCACACTCTGCCATGTGCCACTTTCAGGTCTCCTCACACTGCTGGTGGGTTCCATTTTGTCATAGGGTGCTGGCAGATTACGGGCCTCCCATTGCTGCTGCCAGGCCCCTAATCTGCCATGGGCCCCCGTACCACCTCCTCATGCTGCTGCCAGGTCCAGAGTGTGTCATGGGTCCCTGTACGGCCTCCCATTGCTGCTGTCTCCATCGCCAACACACTCTGCCATGTGCCACTTTCAGGTCTCCTCAACTGCTGGTGGGTTCCATTTTGTCATAGGGTGCTGGCAGATTACAGGGGCCTCCCATTGCTGCTGCCAGGCCCGTAATCTGTCATGGGCCCCTGTACCGCCCTCTCATGCTGCTGCCAGGTCCAGAGTGTGTCATGGGTCCTGTACGGCCTCCCATTGCTGCTGTCTCCATCGCCACACTCTGCCATGTGCCACTTTCAGGTCTCCTCATGCTGCTGGTGGGTTCCATTTTGTCATAGGGTGCTGGCAGATTACGGGCCTCCCATTGCTGCTGCCAGGCCCGTAATCTGCCATGGGCCCCCCGTACCGACTCCTCATGCTGCTGCCAGGCCCGTAATCTGTCATGGGCCCCTGTACCGCCTCCTCATGCTGCTGCCAGGGTCCAGAGTGTGTCATGGGTCCCTGTACGGCCTCCCATTGCTGCTGTGTCTCCATCGCCACACTCTGCCATGTGCCACTTTCAGGTCTCCTCACACTGCTGGTGGGTTCCATTTTGTCATAGGGTGCTGGCAGATTACGGGCCTCCCATTGCTGCTGCCAGGCCCGTAATCAGCCATGGGCCCCCGTACCGACTCCTCATGCTGCTGCCAGGCCCGTAATCTGTCATGGGCCCCTGTACCGCCTCCTCATGCTGCTGCCAGGTTCAGAGTGTGTCATGGGTCCCTGTACGGCCTCCCATTGCTGCTGTCTCCATCGCCACACTCTATGCCATGTGCCACTTTCAGGTCTCCTCACACTGCTGGTGGGTTCCATTTTGTCATAGGGTGCTGGCAGATTACGGGCCTCCCATTGCTGCTGCCAGGCCCGTAATCTGCCATGGGCCCCCGTACCGGACCGACTCCTCATGCTGCTGCCAGGCCCGTAATCTGTCATGGGCCCCTGTACCGCCTCCTCATGCTGCTGCCAGGTCCAGAGTGTGTCATCGGTCCCCTGTACGGCCTCCATTGCTGCTGTCTCCATCGCCACACTCTGCCATGTGCCACTTTCAGGT